TTTTTTTTTTTCTTCACAAAAAAAAAAACAAAGAAAGAAAAGAAACCTTCAACCCATTTAAACTAATAAGGAGACAAGGTGAACATGAGAATGATCCAATTTAAAAACCATAGCCTGTTGTAATCTTATCACTCATCATGACCAAAGATATACTCCCTTACCTGGACTTTCGAAAATGCCGGCGTTTCCCAAGGGCCTTGAAACAGGAGGGCGAGCAGGAGTTCTTCAGGTCCACTAACTGGTAGATGATTGGATTGTACATAGCGGAGGACTTGGCGAGGAGAGTGGGAATGACAGACACGGGTATCGGCACCGAGTCTGGCTCCCCAAACGCCGACACCACGGACACAACCGCGTACGGGATCCAAGCGATCAGGAATCCCGCGCAGATCAGCATGGCCACCTCGGTTTGAAACGCATCCAAGTTATTTTGACCTCTCGTAACTCACCTTTGAGGAAAAATCCGCTTCTTTGGCATACCTTTGTCAGTTTGATCTCCAGGTTTTGATTGTTATTGATCCGGGCGTCAAAGTGTGAGATTTCCTTTGCGGAAGACTTGACTTTACAGATGATCCTCACGTAGGAGAAGACCATGATGCCGGTCGGAAGGACGAGACAGAAGAAGAGAATGGACATGACGAAGCTTTGGCCGGACACGGAGGATTGCGCCAACCACCAGTTCAGCGTGCAGGAGGTCCCGAATGGTTCCGGGGCGTAGCTTCCCCAGCCTATCAGGGGCATGGTGGCCCAAAAGGCGGCATACAGCCACACGAAGGCCAAGCAGAGGAAAGCGTGATGCCGTTTCAACCACGTCCCTGCGCGGCAAAGAAATAGGAGGTCCGACGCCAAGTGAGTGCTTACCGCTTGAATCCGCCGTCGGCGAAAGCAAACGAAACCTCGGCTTCCACGTACCGTATCGGAGATGGCAGATCTTGAAGTATCGGTCCAAGCTGACCATCGTCATGGTGGTGAGGCTCCCGCATCCAAAGAAAAAGCCCGCCCAGCCGTAGAACTGACAGCCGTCCCAACCGAACAACCAACGGTGGGAGAAACTAGAAACAATAAAAAAGGGCTTTCCTGTCACTAAAGGACAGGGGTAGTGGAATATCAGGAATGTCAAAGGAAAACGAGAGGGCGACACACAAACGACAAGGAGTCATGAGGATCACCAACGGAAAGATGCGTGGGAGTGTGTTGACAAGGATGATGGTGGCAGGATGAAAAAGAGAAAAAGAAGCAGAAGAAGGGTAAAGAGTAAAAGTATGGAAAACAAGATTAGTTTTGGTTTGGTTTTTAATGAGTCGGATTTACTCATACATTTGGATTGACATTAACAGCAGAGCTGTGTTCTTAACAAAGGTTGTGATGGTAGCAGAATCAATAGCAATTTGTCGAGCTACCCCGACAGCTGCAAAACATAAATTCCATTGAACGATAAGGGGAACCAGCCATTCGTGTATTGACGTAGCGACAATTGGTCAAGATACTGTCTACGCGACGGACATTTGAATTTCAGAAAAATGTGTTCAAAGACGCAAAAGACAAGCGCAACCCTTGATTTGCGGATCAAATCTGTGAAATCAATTATCTGCCCGTAGTTTTTCCCATGAACCACATGGCACTCGACTTGAACCGGAACGCAATATTTGATTTGCGGTGCTCATGAGCACCCCTGGTCATACGGCTCACCCAGGACATACCCAGATAACGATCGTTCATCAAGAAAAAAGAACGGGAACATTCTGATGATTATCACAGTTTGTATCACG